GAGTGACTTTTCCCATGCAAGCAGCTCCAGCACCAGCAGCTCTGAGGACACTGAATCTGGGGGGAAAAAGGAGAAACGGCCCCCAAGGAAGAGAAAGAAGCGGCACAACTCCGTGCCGGAGAGGCCGAGTGAAGTGCCGGAGAAAAGGAGCAAGAGGAAGAACTGGAAGGTGGCAGGGGATGAGAAATCTGAGGACAGCTCTGATGAGGACTGAGAGGTTTGGGTGCAGCTCAGAGCAGGAGGGGAGGACAGAGGCAGGTGTTTGTCACTCAGCACTGCCCCACTGCTCCAACACTGTGGTTTACACACACCCTGCCAGCCCACAGGGAGCCCGGCTGTCCTCGGGCTCGCCAGGCCAGCACCTGCCTGGCCCACAGCTGGGCTCGTCCTGCCAGCTTCAGATTCTTTGGTTGTGATCAGGTTGAGTTTTTTTTCTTAAATTACGTTTGAACAGATTGCTCTTTTGGCTCACCAAAACAATGGCCAGTAGGAGAGAGGACAGGCTGATAAATCAAGCTGCTAACAGAGGAAATGTCACTGTAACTAACCCCCACTCCAGTTTTGTCTTCCCATCCTCCACCAAAAGCAGAGCTGTGGGGGCATGCACAGGGTCAGCTGGCCAGGGAGGGGAGCTGGGGGAATATTCCCATTCCAGCTGAAGGTGCAGTGACTTCTCTAAGGGTGAAAAAAGCCACCAGCTCATTTTGCTTGGTTTAGACTCCTGTCCAGAGCCTGCTGTGGGCTGGCCACTGTGTCTACCTTCCTTCCTTCTCCATGGGGATGCTGAAACCATCCGTGCTGACAGAGAGGCCTCGGTGGGTGTTGTGTCCTGTCTCTGCTCTGCCCAGTGTGTTACTGGAGAAACTGGTACCAGGCTGTTCTCCCTGCAGCGAACAGCCAAGCCTTTTAATAAAATAAATAAATCCAGATGTGTTTGACGCTTTTGTCATTGTTCTGGAGCAAAGCCCGGGGCCAGAGCCCGGGCCTGGGTGCTGCCTGTGCTCTCCCTGTGCTGTTTGTTTCTGCTTGACCACACTTGATGAAATCAGGGCACTGGGGAAATGTGTAGGGGGATTGTTGTGTCCTGGACAAGCACAAAACGCTCTCAGCAGCCCTCAATCCTCACTCCAAACCCTGATTGCTTCAAAGGGAAAAAAAAGCAAGATGTTCACGGAAGTGTTCATGCTATGTACAAAGTGTTTCAGTAGTGAACACACAGGCGGGTCTGCTGCGGGTGTTGAGGGGTTTGAGACAATTACAGGAGTACAGAATGGTTTGGGCTGGAAGGGAATTTAGAGATATTCCAGACCTTCCACCAGTCGCTCCAACCTGCCCTTGGGCACTCCCAGCGATGGGGCAGCCGCAGCTTCTCTGGCAGCTGTGCCAGGGCCTGATTCCTTCCCCAAATCCCATCTACCGCTGCCTCGGGCAGTTTCCAGCTGCCCTGCCGAGCTTTGCGGCCGCCGCTCCCGGCCCGGCCGCTCCTCCCGGTGCCCCCCGGCGGAGGCGGAAGCGGAAGCTCGGGCGGCGTTTCCGTGTCCGGGCGCGGTGCCCTTGGAGCGGACATGGCGCTGGCGCTGCTGCGGGCACGGCCCCGGGGGACCGCCCTGGGTGGGTGAGGCCGCGGGGTGGGCGAGGACCCCGAGAGT